ACTCTTTTTTCATTTATTGGCATTTTTATCCCATCAAATTTTTTTGCCAAACAATGTTTTAATGAGATAGTTATTGCACGAATAATAATTAAAGGGGAATGTTGTAAACTTATAAGAGTCTGTTTGATTGCAAGAATGGAATTTGGGTAGAAAGAAAATGAATTTCAAGGAATTGAATTGCCTAGAACTTGTTCTATTATGAATTGTCAATTAAATATGTTTCATTGGTATAATTTTTGACTAGAAAATATCGAAATTTTGGCATTTGTTTGACTTTATTTTTCATGAAAATTGTCAATTAAATGAATAATATTTGTTACAATTGTAGATAGAATTTGTTTCTATTGCCAAAAATTAAAAAATAAAAAAAAGCTGAAAAATTCAATTCTTACGAAAATCAAAGGAAATTGAATTCTTTAAAAACCAAGAAAATGGCATCACGTGAGGAAGAATAGAAAAACTAATTCTGTGAAATTTTTTGGCCATCAAAATTTACGTGGAAATGGATTTTTCCATTTTCCTTAAAAAAAAAAAAAGACTATCAAACAGGCCCTAAGATAAATATTAACGATTATATAGTCTTATTACTATGCATAAATAAGCCTTATTTAATTTGAAGAGTTTATTTCATTCGATTTGTAACTTTTATTTTGAACCTATTGATTTTCATTAATGCACACAAATCGATTTTATCTCATCTATTTTTCTCTTTTCACAACATATCTTATGGTTCTACAATAATTCTCTTATTTTGGCAATTTCCGTACTATTTCAGTATTTTTTTTGTTAGCAAACAGGCTCCAATAATTGGGCAGAGCTCAGGCGCGAGGAGGTGAAAAACTGAGGAATAAAAATGGTGAAGGGAAGTAAATTGCTACTGAAAGGCTCCGGAATCGGAATAAACAACACTCTTGCTGAAATATTAGTATGTCCACTCTCCAAACAACCCCTTAGGCTGTGTAAGAAAATAAATGCCCTAATTAGCGATTCGATTGGAGTTTCATATCCGATTGTTAATGGAATTCCTCGTCTTGTGCCGATGGATGGAAAATTGATTGATTCCGATGAAAGATCCAATTCCGAAGAACCAGCGGATTCACCCAATTCAAAAACTGAAAGGTAGGCATCGAACATGAGTCAATCTTTGGTACGAGGGAATGGGAACCGAAATTCCCAATTTGATTATCAATTCCATGTTTGTTGTTATGTTTTATCTTGTTGATTACTGGATGTTTAATGATTATCCAGATTTATGTTCTATGAATTGCCTATTTCCTCTTGGTTGCTTAGTTTTATCACTTATGAAAAATCTCGCTTTAGGCAATTGTTGACAGTGTTAAGGGCAAAATCGTTAAAAGCTCGAACAAACTATTGGACGAGCTACTACGAGGGAATGGGAACCGAAATTCCCAATTTGATTATCAATTCCATGTTTGTTGTTATGTTTTATCTTGTTGATTACTGGATGTTTAATGATTATCCAGATTTATGTTCTATGAATTGCCTATTTCCTCTTGGTTGCTTAGTTTTATCACTTATGAAAAATCTCGCTTTAGGCAATTGTTGACAGTGTTAAGGGCAAAATCGTTAAAAGCTCGAACGAACTATTGGACGAGCTACCAGATTGTGAGAATATGTTAAAAATAAATCTAACATAGCTTAATCAACCTGAATAGAATACAGAAACTAGTGGGGATGATTAGCATGGAAAATAGTGGATGTGTAAAAGGACAATAAAATGTCAGTTAGGGAATTGCAATCATTTTGGTAGCTGAGATGAGAATTGTAGTTGGTTTTTATTAATAATGAGCGCTATTATTTAAGCCAAAATCTTGCAGGTAAGTGTCGGTTAGCAGTTATTTAATGTTCGTTTTCTATTGGATTATAGAATTGGCATCTAAGTTTTCGTTTTCAAATAGGTGGAATTTTGGCAGGACAACTGGAATATATGCTTAAGATCTCTAAAGAACAATAAATCTAGATATAAGACATCAAGAAAATTCTTTAGACTTGTATTCCCCTCCAGAATATGCCCACAAGTTCTTATTTTTCTTTCCAATTATTCTTATTTTTCTTTCCATTTAGAATAATTTCAGGCTTGAGAGTGCCGCCCAATCCAACACGACCAGAGCTGTCGAGTGTCGAACTACAAGTCTTTGTGCCCATTATAAGAATAAAACTAGCTAACAATAGCTCGTTTGTTGACGCCAACTGCCAGTAGTCTGTTCATATGACTTGTTCACCACTCAGAGATCCATATCAACCCTTGACTTTTCCCCTTTTCACAGCCCGTAAAGAGAACAGAACTCTTGCGTCATTAGCTGCTTCACTGCATTTCCTGCCTAAGTTGATGATACTAGAAATTCAGGGTCTCTTCATCTGAATCAAGTTTGAGAAGAAGAAATTTTCCTCACTTATTATAAAACTCTAGTATTCGTCTGTATA